TCAACCTCGACGACCATTCAATAGACGATCACACCCTAATCCCAATTGAGCGTATAGAAATTGACTTGCCCGAAGTTGAAACTAACAAATTCCGTCAATCTAGGGGAAGCCCATTGGATTGAGACATTGAATACAGCAAGACCTATAGGACTAAATATTCACCATAATATAGGCATAACACCCTTTGTTGACCCGTTCAATACAACCAGCAATCGCGCAAGCAAGATAGTTCATGCCCACTATAAGAGCCTTCAAGAGAAATTCCCCCATGTCTATAAGCAGAAAATGATAGTTGCATATTCAAAAAATAAGAACTTAAATGATAATATTGTTCATAGTAAACTAAAAACAATCAGTACATAACAGATACCATACTTCTGGGCGAGTTAATTTTTTTAATTTCAGATCAGAATCAGAACAGAAGAAAACCCAATATCAAGACCCCTAATCCTAATTTCTAAATAAAGTTTTTGCTCCACCTTAGGTCTGCACATTTGGGAGAATCAAATTTTAAAAAATTACGAATTTTAATTTTGCTTTAAATTCCGCTGGAAGCGCTTAAAGAATTCGAAAATATTAACCCTCTAGGTCAATTAGGTCACGCGCTAGAGCAGTCCAAAGTTGCGAATTTGGCTGATTTTTGGACATCTAAGTCAAATATGAAAGGATCAGCTGATAGTCAAGGTCATGGTTGTCAAAGGTCAAGGTCGTGAAATATGAGCTTTCAAACTTCGAAAAAATTTAACTGGAAATTGCAAAAAAAGCAAAAGGGAAATTAAAAAATAAAAAATCAGCTCCAACAGTTTTTTTTTTTAAAATTTTTATTTTCTTTCATCAAAATCGGAAAAGCTGTTTTCCCGTTTAAACCGAATTTTGTTCACTTTCTTGAACTGTCTTTGATCAAATTTTTTAGATTAATCAGACAAAAAGATTTTTTTTTCTGTGGTAAAAAATTGCAAAATTCGATCGAAAAAGTGAGAGACAAATTTTCGAATTTCGAATTTTTTAAAATGCTCTCATATCAGAAATTACATGTAGATTTCAGAAATGAAAAGCCGAAGAAAATCGATCCACAAAAGCGACTTTTAGGGTCGTTTTTCTACATGTTTTTCTGCACATGTTAAACTGTGGCACTTACGGTTTTACAAAAATGTTCCAATTTATAGTTATGCAATACGTTACCACTACAGAAGGTCTAGGAATGTTGAATGGTTGCTGCAACTACTGCAGTCTAAGCACAGGAAGGTGTGTAAATTTCGAAAAAAAAGAATTGACATTTAGATCACAAACTGGGACTTTGCACGTCTATGTTCAAACCATTGTCTGATTTGACAGGCTTTTCATAATCACATTGATAGGGATATATACTTGCAAAAGACGTATATATACGTACATCGCGGAAATGAAGATAATTTAATTCTACCAATTAATACTATAGCAGATTTTCATTTTCTTAAAAAGTAATTTATCATATTTGCAATTTGTGTCCAGAACTAAGTATTAATATCATTTTCATACATTTGGCATGTAGAATATATTTTGGTGTGATATTGAACCTTTCGTTAAAAAGTTGTGTTATATAAAAACAATATGCCTGATATCAATCAGTCGTCTGCTGATGTAAAATATTAATTAACAGTTATCATAGAAACATCTGTTCAAAGGGAGACTTTGAAATTTACTATAAATCAGTTTTCAAATTCAGCATTCAACAGTATATCAACAAGTCTCGATATTGATACGTAAGAATGAAAAACTTCTTTTGTTCCGTATTGTTTTTCTCCGTAATAACTCTTATAGATGCCGGTAAATATTCTTATTTATTATTTAAAAGTTCTACTCTACTTTGAATTTAAGGTCAAATTTTATAGATCTGGATGTAATTTTAGTTAGCTTTATAATTGTTGTAAGAGGCCGAGTCACAAGAAATCCGGCTTACTCGAATGTCTTTCGATTTAACTTGCGTTACTATCACGACGTTTACTGGCCTATACAAATATTCAGATATCTTTAGCTGTAGATAGTTAACATGTAAATTTTGAGACAAACAATCAATTGTCGAGTTAATATGAGTCATCGAGTCGGAAGTACCTAATGGAAACAAAAAATATTAAAATTTAAATTACAGATTGCTTGACTTATCCTAATATAACTAACTCTGAGCTCAATACAGACTGTGGAAATGTAGAGATGGAATGTAAAGAAGGTTTTAAGATGGTACAAGAGCTGGAATAAATTGAAGGAGAATGGATATATCAAACACCAATTTGTACAGGTAAGATAATTACTTCAAATACTTCAGTTACACATACGAGCTTTGTGGACTCACTTAAAGGGATACCAAGTTGACAAACCAAATCGCTAAGTGATGAGTGTATTAGCCTTTCTTCTATTGAGATGCTTGTAATAATACATACAAAGTTCAAATTTAACAACTTCCCTAAATATATTTAAGAGCTTGATATTTTTAGCCTTGCTTTTAGACCATAGAGATCGCTAGTAGCTAAAATGTTCGAAAAAAGATCGGCAATTTTTTCGGTTTGTTTCGTAAGCTACAAGAAGACAAAAGAGATCTATTTAAATATGTGGCACGACTTCAACATGGACGCATACGCCAACATGCTCTCCAAGGAAAATTTTTATATTCGTAAATCTCGCTAGTGTAACACAATGTATTATTAGGGTTGACTAGCAATGAGTGTCAGAACAGGTAACGAATAGAATATTTAAAGAGTCAATTAACACCTCGGCTACTTGAAATGAAATATCTGTTGTCATTGCTAATGTAGCATCTTCATCTAAGGGTAGTATATTAGATAATACTACGTAGCCTTTTAACACCTTTAGTCCTTGACAATAATACCTCTTTGTTCTGAGTCTACCTAACTAATTAAGCTTATACTTATGAAGTATTATAAAAGATTATGCATTGTGTTCCTGTGTCAACAAATGTCAACATTCTCATGGTCAGTCCCTTGACCAATCAACGCCCTTCTTGCATTAGCTTTATCCAATCAGGTCTCAAGGATATGGACGCTTAGGTTTCAACCAATCAGAATATAGTTCATATCTTTGAGCCTGACAAAAAGGAATAGGACCTGATTTCTAGAAGGAAGAGAGACCTAGGCGAGATCTAGGTATAACTCTAGTTAAAGGGTCATGTAGTTTGGGAGTCCAGTTTCTCGCTCCCACTGGGCCCCTGCCCTTTTGGTCTCGGGATGATAGATGTTCCTGTATTTTACCTGTATTGATGTTCCTGTATTTTACCTGTATTGATGTTCCTGTATTTTACCCGTATTGATGTTCCTGTATTTTACCCGTATTGATGTTAAAACTAGGTTTCCAATCTATCCACTCCTAGTGGGAGGTGTCTCAAATGCACGAACTGGATAATTGCCAGATTTTATACATCATTATTCTAAATATGATAAGTTGATAACGTTTAACCGACCTAGAAACTCACCATATCAACAAGTCAAACACCTCTCATATCCTAAGCAGGTATTCAATATATTGAAGCAGCATGACTCTACAGGTACGAGTAACTGGGCTACTAAAATAAATACTATTGTTTTCACTGGGTTTTGGCTGTTAACATAAGTTAGGAGTCCTACTGAACTTCTTATATTACTTTTAATCAGAAAAGAAACATAACTAAATTCAGGTTAAACCAGTTTCCTTTGGCTAAGAACCTATTTAATAAGAAACAATGTAAAGACTCTAAATGTTTGTTTTGTGTCTCTGAAAGTGAGGATATGGTCAATTTCATGTTGATTTGTGATAAACTAGAAGCCACAAGAAAAATGTACATTCCAAAAAATTACCTGGATAAGAGAGTTTTAGGAACATTATTTGTAATGTAACAAATTGTAATCTCTTAAGCTCAAACTGAAGATATATTGACCAATCTTTGGAGGTAAGAAACAACCAGAAGTAGAATTACATAAAGAATATACACATTATATGTATTAATATAAATATTATACTATGTGATAAACAGTAGTTATAACTAAATTACTATATTGAAATGTTGAATGTGTGTATTCATGTTGAAGATAATATTAGGAACAAACCAGTGTGATAATTGTAACTAATTTATTTTGGCTCCGGCCGACAAAATAAAGAAATATCATATTTATCATATTTCATAATTCTTGATTTTAATATCAGATGTGCAAAAATTTCAATCTTTGTTCACTAATCGCAGGTCAACGACACAGAGGCACCAAGGGCTAGATGTTCCAAACGATCCAAAAATATATCAGAAGTGAACCTAGAATAGGAGGTTTATCAGGCTATGAATTTACTTCATATTTCATTTTACAGCTGTAGATTGTGGATCTCCTCCACAAGGAATTTCATCATTATTATATTTACTATTTAATTATAGTCTCGCCATGATTGCAATCGATAGTCTTGTTGGACTTTATATATTGTTAAATATGCTCTATAAACATATATAGGACTCACTGCACTAAAACCTTTTATACAAATAAAACATTTTATGCAAATGATTGTATGAATGTAGTCGAGGCTATTTATTCCAGGCTATTTTAAGAAATCTTCTTTTTCTCTCCCTTTTGGGGTTTTTGAATGCCTTTTTTGGGGGGGGGGGGGGGGGGTAATTTTTGGTCTACTCTTGGAAGTTGATGTCTGAAATTGCATTATCTTTAAGATTTGGTGAGATGATAAGTGACCTAAAGGCGGAAGGCTAATTCTAAAAATAGTCGTTTTGTGAAGTGCCAAACTCTAGCGGATGAGTATAACCGGTAGTAGTCTACTTTCAACTTAAGTAGCTCAAAATTTTCATGGTCATTATATGTTGAATGTTTTAGGAGACATTGAGTATTGGTCAGGGTTTCATTCGACATATTTGAAAGTTTTCAACGAGATTTCTGGATAAAGTTGTAGAAGGTTGAATTTCATGTTTTAACATGGAAAGAGATGGCAAATGAATTAGTGGAGTTCATATTGTTCAGTTTTCTCATTTACACACTTACAAAGCCAGACTCATCATTATATTCTACTTCTATTTCAGAGGATAAAGATTGTAGATCTAAACCACTTGATGTAGCTTTTGTTGTGGATGGATCATTCGCAGTTAGTTCTGATGATTTCAACACGATGATAAACGAAATAGCAAATTTCGTATAAGAAACGTTAGTTGTTGGTCCGACGACAGTAAATGTAGGTGCTGTAGTTTTTAGTGGTAATTTTAGATCTATTACTTTGTCAAGCGACTCGTTTACAATTTCAAACGACATCCGTGATCTAATGAGGCGAAGTGGCAATACTGATATCCCACGTGGTATAACTGCAGCCGCGGATGATATTTTTTTCAGCGAAGGTCGAGGAGGTACAATTCCGAGAGTTATCATAGTCCTGACTGGCGGATAATCGACTACTGATCCTCAGCCTGCGACAGATTTTGCCAAAAACTCCGGGTTTGATATCTTTACCATAGGAATTGGCCAAAGTGTCGATAAGGCTGAGCTGAGAGAAATTGCTTCCGATCCTTCTGAAGCTATATTTGTAGAAGCGGTTGATGATATTTTTGATGCACTTCAAGATCTAGTTAACGATCTCTGTTAATGACGTATATTCAGTATATATATATGTATTTCTATTGTTTTAATGACAATAAATTATAATGCAGTTTTGTCGTGTTGTTAATATTTTAGCACCTGTGGGTCAGGGTACATGATGTTTATTAAACAGAGAGCTTACTGGTATACGCTTTGCTTCACCTCTCCAAAACCTCCACATGTCAGAAACCTTGAATGGTCTGATAGAACAGTATCATACATTTACTCGATTTCGTCGTTTTCAATCCATGTTTGTTCTCTTTTCGGCTAAAGTAAGGATGTAATAGCCCGGATGAGAAAAACTTGGCTACAGTGTGTAAGTAAAGATTCCTGTAAGGATGTAATAGCTCGGATGAGAAAAACTTGGCTACAGTGTGTAAGTAAAGATTCCTGTAAGGATGTAATAGCCCGGATGAGAAAAACTTGGCTACAGTGTGTAAGTAAAGATTCCTGTAAGGATGTAATAGCTCGGATGAGAAAAACTTGGCTACAGTGTATAAGTAAAGATTCCTGTAAGCGTGTACTAGCTCGGATGAGAAAAACTTGGCTACAGTGTATAAGTAAAGATTCCTGTAAGCGTGTACTAGCTCGGATGAGAATAACTTGGCTACAGTGTATAAGTAAAGATTCCTGTAAGCGTGTACTAGCTCGGATGAGAAAAACTTGGCTACAGTGTGTAAGTAAAGATTCCTGTAAGCGTGTACTAGCTCGGATGAGATTCCTGATTAACGCTGGTTGCGCCAAAGTATATTTTCAGTTTGATGAATCTGTAACGAATAGAGATAGGGAAAAAAGGAAAGTTTTTAACTTCTCCAAACATCTGAGCGTCAGGGAGTTGTAGGGAGTCCAGTTTGATTTGGAACCACAAAGTGTTAAAATTCGTCCAAGGTAATGAGCAAGTTACCGACTGTAAAGTAATTTATTCATGTCAGGAGCCTCTAACATCAGCAACAGTTATCCTAAGATGCGAAGTAAATTAACATCCATATAATTATAATTACACTTACCATACCAACCAACAATACAATATTGATACCATACCGAGTTTAAAGGATGTAAAGAGGTTTTCAGTATCAGGGATACTGATACCATCAATTTGGACCATTCCAATTTTGATTCAGACGTCTGTGGTTCCAGCAGTTCTACAAAAAATGCAAAAAATAAGTATTTGATGACGTTACTAATCGCAAAACAGGCATATATCATAAGACCCTTTGCGATTAGTAACGTCATCAAACACTTAGTTTTAGTGGAATTGCAGGAACCATAGAAGTCTGACTCGTAGCAGCTGAATTATCAATCATAAGAGGGTAGGTATAATGAATAATAATAATAATAATACTTTATTTGACAGGAAAACCAGTTTGATAGAGGCAAATCTTCCCTGGTATCCTCCTAAACTATACATACAACAATTATAAAATACACACAAATTGAAAATATACATAAAAAAGTTATAAACAACATACAAAAATTATAAAATATACACATACAAAAATTATACACGACACACATACAAAATGATGTTACGCATACTATTATATATACACAATACAAGACAATGATGAAAAGGGAAATAATCATTAACGTGACGGGGGCGCTGTAAGTAGCTCTGCCCTCAGCCTCATTTCAAAAATAGCAAGTGATGAAGATGATTCAATTGTTTGAGGTAATGAATTCCACAGAAGACTTGCTGTGTATTGAAAGGTTCGTTTCATTGCTTCCAATTTACATTAAGGTAAATGAAGATCTTGATTGGTTTGCGAGCGAAGGCAGAGATTGGTTGAGAAAATAAGTGATTTTTTAGGGAAAAAAAATTTCAAATTTCATTCATGATTTTGTATGCCGGTACCCCAGTGTTAAGTTTCAAACGTTGATAGATTGTGAGCCAATTAAGAGTGTGAAACAAGTCTGCCGATCTCGCGTCTAGGATACTTCGCGCTGCTCGTTTCTGGATTTTATACAAGACTTCTTCCAGGCTACCATGGGACGCATTACCCCAAACAATACTGCAATAATTCATGACAGATAAGATATAACTATTGTAAAATAACATAATTTCGTAATGTGTTTCACAGAGTCTAAGTGTTCATCCACAGTTATTCCAAGAAGTACCGTGTCATGTACATTTTCAATAAGTTCATTTTTCAGTCTAAGAGAAAGAGATGTCACGTTTAGAATTATTTCTAATGAGTATAGATTTAGTTTTTATAGTATTGAGCACTAGTCTATTTTCATTACACCAAGCATTATTTATTAAATCAACGTCAGTAATAGATTTTTTAACATTGAGAAATAGGAGAGGCCCCAAAATTGAACCCTGCGGTACAAATCATTTAACAATAGTCTGGTCGGAAATGATATTACCAAAACTTTTTGATATCCGTTTGCCACATAATTTTGAATTAGAATGATAAATGATAAAACTAGTTTATCTAATAATAATTGATGGTCGAGCATGTCAAATACTTTGCTGAAATCAAGGTAAACCACCCCTGTCATATTACTCTTATCGAGATAAGATAGCATGTATAGGTTATTCTAATAATTATTTCATAATGAAAATTGTTATCTGGGCGCTGTTTTTCAAAATATCGTACGACTTACGCCTTTAGACTAAACTTTAGATTGTCTTACGATTACGTGCTTTTCTCACAGACAATCGTAAGTGTCAAGAATAGTCTTACGACAAAAAGTGTGCAAGACTCAAAGTATGAAACTGGGCATATGCAGCAGTCGAAATATTGGGTACAAATACCTAAGAGAGAAAATGGAATTGGACGAAAAATAAATTAATATTTTGGTGACAAATGTTGGATGGATACCTGATGTTGGTGATGGAAGTGTTTTAAAAGAACCGGTAAGAAATGTTGCAAATGATGCTGATTTAGATAGAGTGAGAGTTGTTGCTCGAAACACAATAGAAAGAGTAGGACGCGCAGTTAACCATGTATTCGAAAAATGAGATAATAGTAGTTGAGGTAATTACGTAAATTGGAAGTTATATCATTATTCGGTCTGTTGGAACACAGAAAGGATTCCATAGGATTACCATATAAATTCATCTACAAAGAGAAATCTAATCAAAATTAGAAATAACGAATCTCCAACTTATATACCGGTCCATAGAAGTAGAAACGAGAATATTCAACATGTTGACTAACGATATTGAAATAGCTTTTCTTTGTCGTAACACGGTAGCTAGCATGACTTTAACTGGGGAATCCACTACTTGGCCAATACTGTTAAATCAGCACGATATTTAATGGTTGGTTTCAAGAACTTATCAGACTCTCAGACGAATAACAATAATATCTTTAGAGTGGTAATGAACCCAAATCAAGGTCTTGTAATCCGTAAAGTTCAAGTAAGATTAAATAACGATAATTATCCTAACCAACAATTAATCCATCGACAAAGGATTATAATGAATTGTATAGAAACTATAAAATATGTGTGAATTATTTGGAAATCCACCTCAGTTTGAATTTGTAGATTTTGCTCTTAATCATCCAATCTTCTGTTTTGATCAATCAGCTCACCAAGAAGATCTTTTCAAAACAGGAGTAAATATAGGAATCCATATCGAAAAAACACAGGGAGATATAACCGGTTATTGTTTATAATTGGAAGAAGCAAAACATTTAATTAAAATATCAAATAGAAGAGTGATAAGAATTGAATAAAAAAAACATCCTTACAAATGAAGCCAGAAACTTTACTCAGGAAAATAATAGCAGGTATAGAAACAAATTCACCAACAGTAATAAAATACAATGGTAAAAAGATCAACATATATAAAAAAAACTTATTGATGAATACAAATATTGTAAAGTCAGAGATTGACTTTGAAAGAATTGACGCGAACGCAGGTGGAGTTTTACCTCTCCTACCTTGGAATTGGCGCTGCAACTGGGATTGCTGGTGGTGCTGCTGAGATAGCAAAGGCTGTCAACGCAAAGAAAGCAGCCGTTGCCAAAAACTCTCACGATCGTAGACATAATTTTGGCAATGGAAATGTTAGCGAAAGGTTCAGGAGTAGCAGAAATATAAGGGACAGTAAAAGAATTTAGAAACCAAGAAAACTGTTAAACAGGGATTAAGCAATCTAATAGACAAGATTGACAGAGGAGAAATGAAGTCAAACATAAGGACAATGCTATAGTTTTTAAAAACATACGTTCTGGAGAGGGAATTTTTCTTTCATAGTATGAAGGAGACGGGGTGATTTTTGGAATAAATAAATAAGTTAAAAATGAGAAAGAAATTCAGACATTCAGAAATATTTCCTAGTAACCCAATGCTTATGTGCATTTGCGGAAGTTCGGTTTGTGGAAAAACTCATCTTACTTTTAACATGTTGACAACACCAAACCTTTTAGATTTCGATTCTCTGTATATCTACACAACAACACCAGAGCAATCGTATTATCAATTCCTCAAAGCTTTAGAATATCTACCAAAGAAAGATGTTCAATACATATTTCAATATCATGAAGCTAACGAAGAAATGGAAATAAAAGGTATCATAGAGAATTTCATTTACAAAAAGAATCTATCTGTCAATCCAACTTACATAAACGTGTTTCTTACGAAAAATGTCAATGATTTGTCTAATATTGATAGTAATCGAAAGAAAAAACTTAATAGTCTTTGACGACTGCGTAGCGTAAAAGAGTCAAGCTGTTCAACAAGAATTCTTCACGAAAGGAAGACATCACAACTGTAACTGTATATACCATTCCCAATCCTTTTACAGAATGGATGCTATGTTTATTAGAAAGAACGCTAATTGTTTTTTTATTATTCGAATCAAACGACAAAGACTTATTTCAAATTATTCAGTCAATAAATCACGGGTGATCATGGATATATATTTGTTAATACCAGAAAACCTGCGATCGACATTTGTTGAGTGAGGTGTGTTAAAAAGTCAAATTTTATTTTTTTTAAATGAGTAGTGATTGGAATAATATTTGAAAAAATTAGACAATATATCAAAGCTAAGTATGGAAACCATAAGTTAGAATGATATTGTATTTGACTTTCGGTGCTGAATATTAACCGAATATAATTTCACCATCCCCGTAATCATTTTTTCCTTTTCAGACATCAATCAAGCCTCATTTAATTTATTCCAATTGCTAGATGAAATGTATAAACTATCAGTATCGGTAGAGTATATTTCAGGTTTATAAAATCCATTTATTACATGAATAAAATTATTCATTATTTTTTTACTGTGAGATAATACGAATGACCTCAAATGACGAGGTGTTAGTCGTGTAAATTTACTGTTTGTTGAGTTTATTTCTTTTTCTTCAATTCCTGTTTTAACGATATATTGAGTATCATTAATTTTCTCATAGCTTTTGATATACGAATCAAAGTTAGCCTTTAAAGTTCATACAATCCATAAATGTCTAGTTGTGAATATATCTTTCTGAAAAGAATTACCTAATAATTTCATACAATTACTACCCACAATATTACCTTCTCTTTTACATTGATTTCTTAGATCTCTCAAAAGTAAAATATAATCTCTATAGGGTGGAGTAAAATTGTCTTCATATACTATACCATCTAATATTTTAATAATTATAATAGCTTTCACTATTTCTTGAATATCTTGATATTAAAACGTCTGAACAGAAACAGAAACCATTTCTAAACCCGATTTTAGTGCCAGTTTCCTTTTAACCTTTTTTGTTCGTTTTAGGTTATCGTTAGCTGGTATTGGTTGGAAGAACATGTTTTGGGGATATTCAGACTTTAAGAATAGCGGTTTTGGTCTAAATTTCTGTTCATCTGGTTTAGCACTTTCTGCTTTTGGATATTGACTTATTGCCCCATATTTCGTAAAAACCTCCAAATTCAGTTGACGTTTTAACGGAACTGGTGAGATATCTTTTTCAACGAAGGAAATGAAATGAAATGAATGGAGTTTTACGTCCTACTTTTCTGAAATTTGAACGAAGGTAGAAGTTTGTTAAGTATAATTTCTGTAGTGGGCGTAAACCCCACCTGACTTGACAGACTGTCTTTATTCCCAGCTGTGTTTAAAACCAACAGTTTCAATGATGTAGGAAATTTTATTTTAGAAACTATTTATCAGTATATCAAGAATTCGTCATTTTATATTTTATATGCACATGTTGAGTTTAATTTTATTGATTATGATTTCTTCTTTCTATTTACAATAATCTATATCTGACAATAAAGTAAAATAACACATCCTACATGCAATATGTTTAAATAAAAAAAGAAACGTAAGCTATTCTGAAATATTCCTGTAAATAAACCCACCTGTACAAATCTAATTCAATTACAGATGTAAATATTTTTGTTTCGTGATTCTCCACGGAGGAATACCATCATAGGATTGTATCTTCGGTTCACTTGTGACAATAATTTGTATTTTTCAGAGAAAATCGTTATTTACAATCTTTGATTGGTTAGTGAAAATAATCATTTAAATCTCGATACAAATTGATTGAACATTAGCCGAAAGAGAATCAGATTATGGTTTGTGAATATCAACCCAGAAAAGAAGCACAAAATATCTACATCAGTTTAACATTGAAATAAACGTCTTCAGCAACGAGGGACTACAGTTGGGCGACATTATTGCAGGGGCGGGGATAGTAGTAGGGAGTGCTCTTATTACCGTATTGGTCGAAAGAAACAGAATGGTTTCAGAATCGATAAGATGCATTGTTGTAACTTGAGCCCATAGCTACTTGTTAATAAGTTATTGTTTCCTAACGTCACAATCGTTATATTACTCTACTGGCGGTGAGAATACTTAAATGAGTTTTGCACTATGTTTTGTATGTGTAACGTTTCGCGCACTCGGATGTTAGGAAGATTTACTCATGTCTGATATAACCAGGAGAGAAAGCCATCTCAACCCGGCAAATCCAGTGCCAACGAATCCAGTGGGAGCTCATGCTCTAGATCTTATTGATTTCGTGGAAGCAGACCAATTGAAGATCAACACCATGGTTCCAAGAGAAGTACAGCAACCGGTTACGTCAAAAGGCATTGTTTGAAGGAACCCCCCCCC